TTATGTTTCCGATGATTGGTATGGAAAATGAGATATATCAGTCCAGTTTTGAATAGACCCACATATAACGGCACCTCCCAATATTCGGTGTCTTGATAATTTTTGCCACATTTTTCCACGGATTTGTCCAAAAATTTGTATTCGTATTTGTAGTTTGTAATGTGTTCTAACTCCGGTGGCGGAATATAGTTTATATAGGTCCACATTTTGGTATAAAGCACATATAACGATACCCACCGATATTCGGTATTTGGATCTATAGAGGTTCCCGTTTTTGTATGGTTCCATGCAACGGCTGCATTCACTTTATGTTTTTTTTTTTTTAAGTTTAACAGAATAATCCAAACGTACTTACTGGTATTTATAGTTTAAGGTGAAACACATTTGAATTCAGAAACTTTTATATAACAATGTTTTCTTTACCCAATTGTGCCGGGCCAAACTTAATGTTTTTTTACTTGTTCGCATTTGCTCAGTTCCAGTTCCAGCAAGAGTATTTTGCATATAAAAATGTAATACCATCCATTTATTGCTCTTAGATTCCCAATTTTTTTTTTCAAATTCGTAATTTTTGAAAATAATCTTAAAAAAAATTATTTTCCAAAATGTCCTTTGATGTAATTTCAAATTTTATTCACAATTATATCCGAAACGAATTTACAATAAGGTAAGGCGAAAACACACTAACTGTTATACCTCCACCTAATGATGGTTTATGGCTTGAGTTGTCAAACATCACGTTTGTTGTTTAAGTCTTTCGTTTAGCTAAACAAATATTGAGTGTCTTGGGAGTTTTTTGTTTTTCCATTCCATATCTATGCTAATTCCCATTCATATATAAAAAAATCGTTCAAAACTTTCCTCCCAAACACATGTTGACTAGGAATATAACTTTTTTAGTTAATGTGGGAATTTTTATTTATTATCATTAATTAAGAGCCATCTCCTGTTTCAAAACAAAATAAAATAAAGTCGCGTACGCAAGTGCTTTGTTTTCTTTTGTTTATTCCAACGTCAAATAGAGATATAATTTAATTATGAATATTTTCAAAAGTATATATTGCAATTTTTCAATTAATTTTGAGGGGGGGGGGCATAAAAAGCATTTTTTTATTTTGTTTTGAAAAAGCTTATCAATTTGCGTCACGTGTTGTTCGAGTCGTAGATTTATAATATTTTGTGTGGCAAAAACGTTTTTATGAATTTTATTTTATGACCAATTTCTTTTCGATTGAGTTTTTGTATTTTCAGTATTTCATTAGCATTGATTATTATAACAATTTCGTTTTTATTTTGGTAAAATCATGTATTTTATACTTATTGGAAAATTTCCAGAAAAGAAATTTTGAAATTAAATGGGTTTATTTTATGTGAAATATTTTTTAATATATATAATTTATACAAACGTAAATTTCGTTTTTATTTTTTACTATCAGAAATGTTGGTGGATTTTTAAAATCGTTTAAGAATAAAATGTTGTTAGAAAATAAAACAAAATATACAAATATTTCTATTCTATTGAGCTTACGACCTCGTCACTGAGGCACAATAAGTTTTTGTCATAGGAGTTATTTTTAAATAACTCCTGGGAACCTCCTAGTGATTCTTTCCGAAAACATGGTATTTCCTGCTTTACCCCCTGGTAAAATTGTTTTTTTTTTTTTTAACAACAGTTATAGAACTTAGCCCAACTATTTTACAAAAAATATTTTTTTTTCCAAAATATATTATTAATTTTTGAAAAGTTCAATTTAAAAGTATTTTTAAATAATATTCAAGAAGTGTTTTTAAAAATATTTTAATTTCATATGGATGTTTTTTTAAATGTTTATATTATTTTTATAAATATTTTATATATATTTGAAAAAAAAAAAAAACATTTTTTAACGTGAATTTAAAAAACTCGTTCATTTTTTTTTCAAATATTTTTATTAATATATATATATATATATATATATATATATATATATATATATATATATATATATATATATATATATATATATATTTTAAAATATTATTTTTTTTGTAAAATTTCAGTAAATATTTAGAATCTATACATAAACGAGTAGTGAAATTACTAATTGAGAATAAAGGCCCAGGCAAAATGGCTGAATCTTAAAATTTTAACGAGGATCAGTCCTGGGCCGTAGTCGTATGATAAAGCTGGGCTTATGGAAATACGTACTAAAAGGGTACGAAAAGTACTACAATTTAAAAATTATTATTAGAATTAGGTAGAATTCTAAAAAAAATTGCAATGACGGCCTCTGATAGAGTGCAGGATAGATGTTCCAAAGGGTTTTTGGAAATTCAAACTTAAAAGTTACGAAAAGTTTGATTTTAGGTGAACGGACAAAGTTTTGGAAATGTGCACTAAGTGTACGAACTGTCCTAAATGGTACCAAATTTGGAACAGATTGGTTTAAGGTGAACGGATGAAGCTGAAAATTTGGAATTTTGTATTGAGGTCCCTGTTGGTGGTGAGTTTGTAATAAAGAGGCTAGAATCTTAAAATTTTGCACGAGGGACAGTCTTGGTGCGCATGCCTGTGATAAGGCTGGGCTTTTAGAAATGCGTACTAAAAGGGTACGAAAAGTATTAAATGTTGAATGTACGGAAAAATTTAATATTGTGTCTTAGACAAACCGTATGAGCTAGAATTGTAAATAAGAGTCACTGATAGAGCGTAGGTTAGATGTACGAAAGGGTTTTTGGAAATTCAAACTTTAGGGTTAACAAAAATTCTAAAATTGAACTATACTTCTAAAATGCTACCAATTATGTGAGCGAAAAACTGATAATGACGTGATTTTGGAAATGTGTACCACAAGTGCACGAAAGGTACTAAATAGTAATATATTTAATACAATTTGGTATTGGGTAAACAGAAAGTGCTTGAAATCTGCAATTTTATATTAGGGAAGCTGTTCATGTTTAGCCTGAACATATGGACTTGGTTTCGGAAATGTGTACTATAATGGTACGAAAAGTACTGTATGGTACTAAATTTGGTATTGGTTGAAGGGATAGAGGAAAAAATCTGTAATTTGATATTTGGTTTGGTTTTGGTTTTGGTATTTGATTTGGCGGTAGCTTGGAAATACCTCCTTTAATAGTACGGAAAGTACTAAACGGTACTAAATTTGTTATTGGATGATGAAATAGAGCTGAAATCCTCAAATTTGATATTGAGGTTTCTGTTGGTATATTGAAAGGAGATATAGAGGCGGTTTTAGAAATGCGTCCTATAATTGTACAAAAAGTACTACATTTGTAAAATGTTGTAAATTTGTCTGTGGTAAAGATATGGAGGAGATAGGTAGTACAAAACGGGGGAAGTGGGTGGATTGATAAAGCTGGAATACCGAAATGTGATATTGAGGTCGCTGTTAGTATCAGGAATTGAGACATGGAAGTGGATTTGGGAATGTGCACTATAATTGTACGACATGTACCAAATTGAGTATAGGGTGAGGGGATAGAGGTAACATTCTGAAATTTCATGTGGATGTCACTGTTGGTGTCTGGTGTAAAGATAATGGAAGTGACTTTTTGGAAATCGGTACTAAATGAGTTCGAAAAGTACAAAGTGGTACTAAATTGGGTATTGGATGAATGGATGGAGCGGAAATACCTAAATGTGATATTGAGATCACTGTGGGTATCGGGGATTTAGATATGGAAGTGGACTCAGCATTTGTACGAAATTGTACGAATAGTACTAAATGTTACTAAATTTGGTATTGGGTGATTGGAGAGAGGTAATAATCTGAAATTTTATATTTACGTCACTGTTGGTGTCTGTGTGGAGGTGGGTTTGGAAATGCGTACTATTGTTGTTCGAAAAGTACTTAATTGAACTAAATTTGGTATTGGGTGAGGGGATAGAGCTGAAATCTCGAAATTTGATTAAAAAATGTGTCAAAGTGAACCAATTGTGCATATTGAGCATTCAAAAGGCCCTGCTGGTCTTTCAAAAAATATGCTTCAAAAATCCGCATTTATTAAAAAAAAGTTGAGGGCCGTTTGGCCTTGAGAATACAAAAATTAAAAATAAAAATAAATGCAAATTACAAAAATTTATCCATTTAATTTTTTTTTTTTTTAATTTAAACCTTAAAAATATTTTTGAAATCAACGTCTAAAACGCACGATTAAATCGCCACTAGTTTTTAGGCTTTCGAAATCGGCATTTATTAGATAATTTATCTGCGTTTGTGATCCGTTTGGCCTTGAGAATATTCCAAAAATTCCATTCTGTCGGTTTCAATTTTTTTTTATTTTTTAATCCAAAAAATAGTTTTGTTTATATTTTTGAAAACAACGTCTAAAACGCACGATTGAATCGCCACTAGTTCTTGTGAAAACATATGTTATTTACTTTTTTTTCAATACCACCTAATTGACCTTAAGACATTCTAATTTGCATGAATTCATTCACTTTCACAGTTTTTAAAATAACATCCGATGAAATTCCCAAGAATTAACGACGTCGCTGAACTTCCTCTCCGTGCTGATCACTTCACTTGACAGGAACAGTTTAAATATTAGTCGATGAATTTATTAAATTGATCTCTCTCCCTTCCTCCCTAACGCTCTCTCCACTTAGCATACGGAAAGTTCAAATATTAGTCGATTATTTGATCAAGTTACTCTCTCTCTCTCTCCCCATGCCGCTCTATTCACTTAACGTGCGAAAATAACAAATATTAATACATTATTCTATCAAATTATTAAAAATCGAAAAAAATGCAATTATTTTTCGCAATGTTCGCAAAATTTGAATTCCCATCATATTTATGAATGAACTCCGGCAAAAAAACAACAAACATGTTGTTGTGGTGCGTATTTTGTTTATTTCACAAGCTAGTGCGAAAATCGATTCGGAAAAATATTGACATTTACAAAGAGAGGTGAAATGTTTCTGATTTTGTTTTTGTTATTATTGCGATTGGAATATAATCCATTTTATTATAAATACCAGCTACAATTTCCACCAGATGCTGCAGAATCAACCAAGTGTTCTAAGAATAAACAACATTCAATATTTTAACAACAATTCAAAACGGAACGGATATAAAAAATTCCATTGCAAAACAATTTCGGAGAAATCATTAAACAATTCAAAGAAATTAAAAAAAAAATCAGAAAGAAATTTCAAAGGATAACAAAGAAAAAAAAAATAATTCAGAATAAAATTCTCAACACAAATTTTTAAAACCACCTCAAAGTCAATATGTTTCAAGTGAGTTTACTAAAAAAAATAAAATGAATTTTGAGATTTTAAATTCCACAACTGTTATACTTATGTATTAACTGTTCTACAAATTACTTCCGCTTCCAGATAAAAAGCACCAAATGGATTACCTTGACTTTTGTCTTCTTTGTGACATTTTTCACGGGAGTAGCGGCCAAGCCCACCTTCGATATTTACAACGACGACTACTATTCGGATTATGCAACCAGACGGTCAGGCGAACAATCCGATCACATTCTCTCGAGCTTAAAACGGGGTTATTACTACATTGACAATGGCTCCATAATACCAGTCAGACGTTCGGATGATCCCAATACAGGATATGTGCATTATAGTTATACACCAATTGCCCATTATCGCAAACAGCGGTCCGAACACAAGAAATTATTTGTGCCCAATTTCTTTGGCTGAGCCACAGAAAATTTTCCATTACTTAGTTATCGGTGAAAGAGAGGGCGCGATTGAGGGCGAGACAGAGAGAGATGGCAGACTGATATTTATATCTCTTATATCTCATATTATGTTAAGTCGTTGTTTTTTTGTTATTCAATTGTGTTTAAGTTATTAATTATTATTATTATTATTATATAAAAAATAAAATATCATATATGAAAAATATAAAAAAATGTTTTTAATATTGGTTGCTAAGTGGAGGGAAATGAATCCGAGGAAGTTTTTTTTTTCAAACGAGAGAAACATATCAATTATTTCTCATCTAATCAGAGTCTCGATATCTACGAAAAAACCGGGAATGTAGCTCCTAGTCTTCCAACATTTTTTAAGGTCCACGATTGTAACTCTTAAAAGTTTTCCAAAAAGTTGTTATTTTTGATTTTAAATTCAGGTACGTAGCTCTAAATTTAGACTTGACTTTAAAAATATTGAATGTTTTCTCAAATATATATTTTAAAATTTATATATATTAAAATTCTCATTATTGTAGTTTTGAAAAAAATACTCTATATTTTCCTCGATTGTATCTCAGAAAATCGTGTTAAAAAAGAAACAATCCAGAGGGCTTAAAAAATGTTTTCAAACCTACAAATTTACCAATACAAAGTCTTCAAAATCTTAAAACAAATTTACGATCATTATCTGAAAATTGAAAATTCTAATTAAAGGGCTTCCAAACATAAAATTCACGATTTTAGCTCTGAAAAGTCTTCAAAAATATTTTAAAAAATATGTAATTTAAAGGACTTCCAAGCATATTGTAAAGCATTTTAAGAATATTCCAAAAAAAAAAAAATATTTATCTCAAAACTAGAACCGTAGTTATGAAAATCCTTATTTTTTATAGGAAATCTTCGAATATTCCTCTGAAAGGTCTTCCAAAATTTGTCTTTTTTAAATTCTGTATTATAAATTTAATTTTTTTTAATATCCAGGATGTAGATCTGAAAACAAAATTTAAACAGGTCGGTTTTGACGACAGATGTATCTTTAGCCAATGACCGTTTATAAAAATACATTTTGACTACGTTAGTTGCGAAGAAGTGGATAAATATTGTTCGTCTCGTATCTGCCATAAACCTAAGAATATATCTACTTTTTTTCTCACTTTATATGCAATATGTGAGAATTTTTGGAAAATATTGAAATATGTTCCAATTTACACTTCATCTAACACTAATACTTTTGCGGCAGGTGCGAGTAGAAGTGGTCCGTTCGATCGTGCTACATACCAGATTTTGTATTTGTAGAAATATTGAGATGTACGAAATTTGAATTTGACGATCATCCGACATTTATTTCACATTTTATAGGAGAATGGAACGACCACAAATGTCATGAAACTGACTTGGGCCAAAGTGACCTGGGGTCTAAAACCGTCATTTCGATGAGGGACATTTTGGCCGTATCAAATGATACATAGCTTCTGTAGCCATATGGCTAAGGATTATAACTCTGCAAAAAATATTTTATAAAATCCAAAATAAGGGGCTTCAAAAATATTTTTAAAAATCCACGACTATCAGGCATGTCACAGAAATTTTACGAAATCGATTTATTTCACCTTTTCCAAATCGTTACGATTTGTTTTTGCTTCTTCAGCACTCGTACGTTTTGACCAATCCGGAAAAAAATCATTTCACATTTTTGAAATAAAAATATGGTAACTCCATGAAAAAAAAAAGTCGTAAACAAATTATTGACAATTAAAAAAGGAGTTTAAAATGGTTTTTAATAATATAAACACCAAAAGTAAAAATGCCAGGGGCTTCAATACTTGCTGTAATGGATGAAGAAATAAATCAGCGGTCTACTGAAAAAATTCGTCGCCGGACATTGAGGAACGCATCAGATCCTTTATCTCACTCAAATGCAGAGTAAGGATCCACCATTTTTAGTCCATTGTGTAAAATAATGTAAAGTTAAGAACGAGTCGTATTTGCTTTTTCCTGTTCTACAGCATATTTAAGAGTTTCAAGTTCAACTATTTTGAGTTTCATTTCGTTCCGTTCACGCATTCTCTTTTGCATTTCAATATTATGTAACTGCTCTTCCACATACTTTTTCTCCAGGATGTTACAAAGCCTGTCCAACTTTTCAGTTTGTTTTTTCATTTCCTTACTGTTATCTTCTAGAATTTTACAAATTTTTTCCAAGTTTTGTAAATGAGAATTTTCCTCAACTAAAAGCGCATTTAGATCTTGGTTTAAGGGAGTTCTTGCCCGGGGTCTTTTTACTGCAGGCGTGGGTTTTGCTTTTGTTAGGCTGCCCGACACTTGTCTTATTGGTGTAGATGGCGGAGAACACGATAAGCTTTTATTTCAAATCGTTTTTGAATAGGTGTTCGCGAACGGTTTTCTTCCAATGTTGGTGTTCTTGGATCAATTGCCAATGTAGAAACATTTTTAAAAGCAGCTGGAATGCATGATCTTGGTCTATCTTTTTTATTTAAAATCGAAGTGGTCTGCTTTGAAGTTGAGGGTGAAAAATTAAGCTCTTCGTTTTCAGATTCACTTAAAACTAATTGACTTGATTTTCGAGTTCTTGGAATATGTGTAGATGATGACGAATCAAAGTTTTCTTTTTCAGAACAACTGAAGTCTAATTCACTTACAAAATCCGCAAAGCTTACTGCACCACCAACTCCATCGACACTTTTATACAATCCGCAAATCCTGATTAAACTGTTCTCGTGTTCACTGAAAACATATTGATTGATATCACCACCAAATAATAGATTTTTTGTAAAATAAATTCCAAAAACATGTTCATTCTAAGAGAATTTGGTTAATACAATATTTTCTGTTAAATGTATGTGTCTTCTGTTTATTTTTTACGTTAAAATCATTAAATATTTCAATTTCACCCTGCTTTTTGAAAGTGATATCAAAACGCAAAATTTTTGCGTTTTCCGTTTTTTAGAGAAGCTAAAACCGTTTTCGTTTTCACTCTTGAACGATTTTACATTCTGTGACATGCCTGTATATATCTGAAGGAAATTTCTTTAGATAAAAAATATTTACAAGTCCATAATTATACATCTGAAAGGTCTTCAAAAACTATTTTTAAAATAAAAATCTAAAAAGAATACAATTTTAAGGCCTTTCAAATATTTTTTAAAAAAATCTACGTTTGTAGTTATTGAAAATATGAAAAAAAAAAAAACAAAACTGTGGCTTTGAAAAACTTATTTACTTTTCAACTCTGAGAGATCTTCAAAAAATACTTTCAAAAAGGTAAGGAATCACGCTTTGGAGAATGTAGGAAAAACATTAAAAAAATTGAGGATGTAAAAAAATATTTTAAAAAAATCAGGCGTAGAAAAATATTTTTTAAACAGTTCACTCATGGGAGTATGTGGAAAAAATATATTTAAAAAAATCCACACCTTGGAGAATGTAGAAAAAATATTTGAAAAAAACCCATGCCTTGGAGGATGTAGAAAAAATGTTTTTAAAAAAATCCATGACTTGGAGAACGTAGACAAAATATTTTTAAGAAAATCCACTCTTTGGGAGTTGTAGAAAAAATATATTTAAAAAAATCGATGCCTTGGAGGACGTATAAAAAAAGGTTTTTAAGAAAATCCACGGTTTGGGAGTTGTAGAAAAAAACATTTTTAAGAAAATCCACGCTTTGGGAGATGTAGAAAAAATATTTTTAAAAATAGCCATGCCCTGTAGGACGTTAAAAAATATTTTTATGAAAATCCATGCCTTGGAGGACGTAGAAAAAATATTTTTAAGAAAATCCACGCTTTGGGAGTTGTAGAAAAATATTAAAAAAATCCACTCCTAAGTGGATGTAGAAAAAATACTTTTAAAAAAATCCACGCCTTGGAGGATATAAAAAAATATTTAAAAAAATCCTCGCTTTGGAGTGTAGAAAAAAATATTTAAAAAAAAATCCACGCATTTCGAGAATGAAGAAAAAATATTTTTAAAACATACACGCCTTGCAGAATTTAAAACAAAATATTTAAAAAGAATCCACGCCTTAAAGGATGTAGAAAAAATATTTATAAAATGTCTACGCTTTGGAGTGTGTAGAAAAAATATTTACAAAAAATGCATGCATTGGAGAGTGTAGAAAACATATTTTTAAAAAAATCCACTCTTTGAAGTGTGTAGAAAAAAATATTTTAAAAAATCCACGCATTTGTAGGAAACAAAAAAATATTTTTTAAACAAAATCCACGCCTTGGAGGATGTAAAAAATAATTTTTAAAAAAGGTCCACGCTTGGAAGAATGTATGTAGAAAAAATATTTTGTAAAAATAATTCAAAACCTTAACTATTCTTGAAAATGTAAAAAACACATTTTTAAAAAGCTTGAAAAATATTTTGAAAAAATAAACTTCTAACACATGAACATATATTTTTTATTAAAAAAAATTCACGCCTTGAAGGAATATGAAAAAATTTCTATAAGAGTCAATATTTTTTAAAAAAAATCCACGCCTTGAAAGATTATAAAAAAAATTAATTAAAATAGTCCATATTTTTTTAAAATACCTACGTCTTGAAATAATATAATAATTATGAAAAAATATTTAAAAGACTCCATATTTTTTAAAAAATCTACGTCTTGAAATATTATGAAAAAATATGTTTTAAATAAATCCACACTCTAATAGTATTTAAAAATATTCATTTGTAAAAAATCCACGATATTAATAAAAATATTTTTATATGGATTTATAGGCCCCAAAAACTATTTTAAAATCCCACAATTATAGTCCTCTTTTTTTTTTTTTTTTTTTTTTTTTTTTTTAATTAAACATTTAAATATTGTTTTCAAATTTATTTTATTTTTCATTTCTTAAAAAAAAATTTCTTAATAATATTTTAACATCTTACATAGAAAAATGTTACATTAAATCTTATAAACCTATGGCAAAATTTGTCCCTAAAACTAATTCCAATAATTTATAATAGCTATGCTGGCAGTTAAAAGCTATAACAATTTTAGACCTCTGTCAGTCTACAGTCTTATAAATGCTTAAAAATATGTATTTTTTTAAATTTATATAAATAAAAACCCAACCCTATCGACTCCCATTGCTGCGCTTGCTTATCCAAAGAAATTGGGAACAAACAACTTCTTGCGTTTTGTTTTGGTCTGCTTGTAACGGACAACAGGTTTGAATTTTACGCTATTTGCCGATTGTCCATCGGCTGAGACATCCGTATCCTGGCGTCTCTTGCCGGGCGGTGGTCTTGATGAATCCCTGGCAATGGTTATCAAGGTATCCGGCGAGATGGCTGTAATGACACCATCATCAATGTAGTAGTAGCCAGTTTTCAGGCTATCGAGCAGACCACTTCTTGGTCTTGCTGGTATGGCTGAGACCCGGCTGAGTGTGGATATGATGACCACTAGTAGTAGGAGAAGGTAACTGATTGAAGGCTGTAATTGTAGAGAGAGCGAGAGAGAGTAGATTTGAGATGAGAATAAGGGTTTTGATTTTTTGAGAAGTATTTTGGAGAATATTGGATCAAGGGAAGTAATTGAAAGCATCTTGGTTTGGAATAACTTTCAAACACTGAATCCCATCCAATGTCCTTTTTCAGCTTCTATTGTTTTTAAAACTCACCATTAAATCCATGGCTCCGTTGTTATTCACAATATTTTACTGCTGATTTTGGGAATTAAATTCAAATGCTTTATATTTCAAGGTTATTTCTTTTTTATTTTCTGGCTAATTTCTTTAAACAAATATTGTCTTTTCTTTGTTGTTGTTGTTATTATTCAACACTCAACAAAACTTTCAAAAATTCCTTCCGCATGCGAAAAAAGAACGAAATAATTTTAAATATAGAAATTTCTTTCCGTCAAATTTTTTGTTTTGTATCGCTTGATTGATTCTGCGCTTATGATTTTCAATATTATTGCTAATACTCATTTTATAGAGAATTTGCGGATTCCCGATTGTTTTTGCTGTTTTTTACATAGAGAGATGTGTATGGATATTTTACAAAGCATAATTTTAACACTTTGGTGTGAAATAATAATCATAGCTCGCATCGTGGTAGTCGAATCAGAAGCAGCAGCTGCCGGAGATGAAGCAAGTAGTAAAACCACGAAGCGCTTACTCATAGCCGACTCGTAGTAGACATACTAATCTTGGCGGAACATAATTAATAACGCCATAAGTCGGTGCCCGGCTCCTGTATTGCGGAAATGGGAATGATGCAAAAAAAATATTTTTTTAAATTATAAAAATGTATTAAATACATTTTCACGTTTTTTTTTCGATTTTATTGAGTGACACATGGTTGGGATTAGTCATACGATATTGAATGATTTTATGAAATTAAAATTTGTAAAAAGAGAATATGAAAAATAATGGGGGAAATTATACTTTCGGAATCAAAGGAATCGACACTGGAAAAATTTATTTTTAGTAAAATCTTCGCTTGGTGGCTGTGGAAAAAAATCCGCTCCGTGAAAAACATTTTTTTTAAATTTTAAGTTCTAATGGATCTATAAATAATACCAAAAAAAATACGCCTCGGTAATTCTTAAAAAAAAAACAAGTAAAAACATTAAGTTCGGCCGTGCAAAACTTTGAATACCCTGCACCATTTGGAACGTATTTAAAAGTTTTCCAAAAAATATATTCTTTACAAGTTCTGTTAAAATCTTAATAATACCGAATATAGCCATTATATTGGGGTCATACGAAGACGTGGACATGCAGAGGCAACTTTTGTTTGTAAGCCATTACAACATTCGAATAAGAAACTTGAAAAAATCCGGTGAAAATGTAGCTAAAATCATAAAAATACCGAATATAGGAAGGTACCGTTTTATCGAAGACCTGGACCTGCTTAGACAATTTTCTTTTACAGACTGCAAATACGAAATTTCAAACGATTTCGGTGAATATTATACCTTAAATCGCCAAAATACGGAATGTAGGGAGGTACTGATTTATGGGCCATATGCGAAGACCTGGACCTGTATAGACAATTTTCTCTCATAGACTATAGTACCAATTACGAATTCTAAATGCGAAATTTTAAACCAGCCATCACAACAGATTTCATGTTTGTAGAAATATTAGAATGGATGAAGTTTAAAAATAATCGAATGTTTTTTAAGCATTTTATTAAGGTTTTGGTTATTCAAAATTTTGACCCCTTTTGTGGGGAAGTACAATGAGTAGTGGACCGGTATAGCTAATCTTTGCACCACATCTTGTATTAATAAAAATATTGGGATGCGCGAAGGTTGAAAAATCGAATGTTTATTTCACATTTTATGAGAGCTATTATTATTCAAAATTTTGACCCTTCGCGGGAGAGGAAGCAGAACGAGTATTGCTCATCTTCGAACTCGATCTAAATTTGATAATACTATTACGATACTTGGACCAAATCGGATATTACCTTCAGGAGTCATGGCCAGACTGATAGCTGGACACCCCTAGATCGACTCCAAAGGTCATTAAATGGATTTGGTCCAAAGAGACCTTTATTTTGATGAGGCACGTTTTTTGGCCGACTCAAATGACATAACCCTCCGGAACGATATGGCTGAAGGTAAACAAGTCCACGGACCCATGGCTCCTAATTTTTTTAATACTCGCTCAGGCGTGTCTGGAAAAATCCATGTTTTAGTAGCTCTTGAACGGATATATTTAAAAATAATTATCGATCTATAACCAGAAGCTTGGATTTGAAGGTTCGTCAAAAAAAAAAAAATCCTTAAAAATCCACGATTGTGGTTCTCAAAAAATATTTCTAAAAATTCACAAATCTGATCCAAAAAATACTCTACAAAATTGAAGTTGGTGGATCTGATTGCTCAAGAAAAATAACTGAAAATCAGCTACCAAAAATCAAGATATGGATTCAAAGGTTTCAAACAATCCAAAATAAAAAAAATATATAGTTTTTTTAATCTACCTAACATCTTCTCCTCAATTCCATAAGTCCATTGAACATTATAGTTTGGGTGTAGAAATGTCAAAACGTAATGAATTCTTCAGCTTGTAACTTATTAAGTTTCCTTCATTGAAAACTAAGAGATCACAATCCATTTAACTCGCACCCCAACCTGCCTCCAAAGCTCAATAAAAGCTAACACTTAACACCTTTCGTTGTGAATCGACAATTAGAAGAAAATGATACAAAATACTTCCTGATTTTGCTTAGGGAGTGAGAAATTGCCAATAAATATTGAATTAGTTTCGTAAATATTTGCAAACATGTGCTGGGCAAACAGGTGCGTGCGTGCGTGCAGCCGTACTCGTTGGACGTTGAAAGTGATTCTAAACTCGAATGCTAAAAAAAACTATATTTACAAAATTAATATTACACTAATCGAATAAGGGTTTCCGGTTAACACTTTACATTGTGAAGATAGAGGGTGGAGAGGGAATGTGGTAACAGAAATATTTGCAAAATCAAGGTAAGGGATGTTACATTTGTGGAAGTGAATGGTGAAGCATGTTACAGTGAAACTATTTTGAGTTTCAACGCATGATTTGAGGTATTTACACCCTAAACTAAAACACGTTTTCGCACATTTGGCCATAAAAATGTTTAGCGAAATGGAAAGAACCAGAAAACAAAAGATATTTTTGTGCCTCGTTTATGGCAAAGGAAATCTTCCAGCATCCCCAAAAAGATATGAACAATGATTGGTATCCTAATCAAGTCTCTAATTAATTATCTTTTTTCGAGAAATTGTTAAAGAATTTACAATAATAACATTTATTGCATATTTTTCGAAAGGAAATTTCCATATTTTTGTGTACAAAGCGAAAGGGTGTTACAATTTCAGAATGATATTTTTAAATATCAAGCGGATACATTTTCTTTTAGAAAACTTATCTTAAGCCATTCTAGAAACTTAAGGCCATTTGTAAGGCCATGGATTGACATACATAACTATCCTCGGTGTAGGAAAATCCTTTTGAGTTACCGGGGGGCTATACGAAGACGTGGACCTGCACAGACAATTTTCTGTCTTAGGCTGCATTATTCATTACGAACTTCAAACACCAAATTTGAAACAATTCCGGTGAATAATGTCACTAAAATCATCAAAATACCGAATAAAGGGAGATACCATTATATAGGGGCTATTCTTAAACGTGGACCTACATGACCCATTTTCAATACCAAAAGTCCTACAGACCAATTAAATAAAATTTTATCAACCTGCTTCAATTCGTTAGGAAGCTCGAGTAATTTCCACAGACGGACATCGCTAAATCGACATAGAATTTTACACTGATCAAGAATATATGTATGTAGTTTGTGGGATCTAAAATGTATAGTTCGAGGTATTACTAACGGATTGACAAATTTAACATACCATGGTAGAAGAATATAGGTAGACGCGTCGACACAGCTGCTGGGACAATGAACTGTCAAACCAATTTTGGAACTAAAAATGTTGAATGAAAAAGTATTTAAATCTGTAAAAATTGTTGAAAAAGGCGAATTATAATAGCCTCCGAATGACGTAGTATAAGAAAACATATAAAAATCTACTTATATTTAAAAAAAACATTTAAATTTTTTTGACATATCAACGCTCCCAAGCGTTGATGCATCTACCTGTATTCTTCTGCCATGTAATATACTCTACATACTATGTATGGTGGAGGGTATAAAAAGTTACAATATGTATATTACAGTTTTCTTTTCATTAAAGTATTTTTGTTTTAGAAGACCAGGCCCGCGATATTATCTAAAGGCTTGGTTTTTACTACAGTTGACGAGAATAGAATCCAATCTCCCTCTTCCATTGTCAATTCTATTCTGGATGGGTGATGAGAAAAGAAAGACAACCTTCTTCTTAGGATGTAGTTTCAATTCTGATTTTATTTCAAAAATACGTTCCTTAAGTACTACTGAAACTAATCTAACTTAACCTAGTCGCAGCCACACAATTATTCATATATATTCTAATATTGATTGGAGTACATTGTAGGGCTTATTCAAGTGGTCTACTGAGCGCATCGATATCTGTGCGTGTGGGTCACAACCTTTATTATCTCACACATTATCGTATGCGTCATCGCACAAGATCACCCAATTGTTCACATGTGATATTTTATGGCAGCTGGGAAATATGTAATTTTAGAATATTTATACTTTATTGCTAGATGTTCCAAGCGCCTCAACAGCACTTAAAAGTATGTACAACGACTTGAATAGAAAAATAAAATAAATTAATGTTTCATTTCACTATTCTTATTTTCGCCATATATCTATTTGATCCGACTTGTTTGCTTGAAAAAAATGTCTTTTCTCGTTGAAGGACTGGGTTCAATTAGGCATCTCCACGCCTTCCTCCTGTAGCATTGCTAACTGAAGGAAAAGTAGTTAAAAAGACTGCCCAAAATCATAAGAAGACTTCACAACACCTTTTTTCGTTGACTGTAATTTCGATTACTCGAACTTTTATTTAACAATTCTATAACTTCACTTAAATTTATTGAAAAAATAATTAATAATAATTAATTAATTATTAAATTTACCAGTTCCATTTTTTTCTTTTTCACTAAACACTATTCACAGCCTTCAAAATTAAATTCTTCACAACAATTCACTAATGAAGAAAAAAGAAGAAGCATAGTGTAAGGCTATCATTGTTTATGCTTCTTCTTATTTGGGAGTAACATTAAACTGATAGACAAAG